TATAGGGTAATAGCCATCTATTTTACCATTACTGATTCCCAAACAAGCTCCTGTATTTTTACAATGAAATCTGTTAGGTAATGCATACCCAGGAAAAACATCCAGCTTTTATATTAAGTTTTCCTGGTCTGGAAGTAAAACATACACAGGAAGGAGCCAGAATCGAAGTGGAATGGTGCTAGATGATGCATTGTTTGAAGTTCAGCATTTCAGGGAGCATAAGAGGTGATATATGTTTGTCTTTTCTATGACTAAGTTAAAGGCTTCATTTCCAAAACCTTGATATTTAATTATTTTAAAAAGCTATGTAGTTTTCTCAGAGTATATATTTCCTCCTGAAATAAGATATCTTATTTTGATGAATTTATATTTAAAAGTTGCTTTAGATGCAGAAAATCTACTTTTTATTACAAATTGCAGGCTTTGCTAATAACAAATTCTGCCTTTCGCTGGAAGAAAGGATTGCTTTGTTAGCAAGCTACGTTGAATTCTACATGTATTGCAATATGAAATGGGCATAATGTATTTGTTACCAGAATGCCATAATCTTTGTAACTACCGGCAAGACACTGAAAAGTTTAAGATAGCTCGAGAATGTATTGGCCTAAAGAACTCAACATGTTTACACCCATCGGCTTTGTAAATATGACCAATTTCTACTGGGAGAATCCCTGTTTTCCTGGTAGAAACCCAAAAGCTTTCCCCAGCCCAGCTCCCACCCCTTCCAGCATCCCCTAAAACAGTATCCAGTACTCCAGTGCTCAGGTGGGTGGCAGGGACACTGATTTAAAAAGCCAGAGAAGCTGGGATCTGGGCTTGGGGACAGCATCCTTATGCCTGCTTTCCAACCCCTCCGTCTTCCTCTTGCCATGTGCACTATATCCAGCTGACCAGGAGCAGAGTGGGAGGAGGCAGATTGTTGTGCCACAAGGCTTAGGAGCCTTGCCACTATTGAAAAATGCCCCTGCCTTGTTCTGGACTGCTTTGGGTCAGTCTGGTGCAGTTAGGCAAGGCAGGCTGCCATGCCTCTGCAGTAAGACTCCCAGTATCCTGCTGCAGAGCCTGCATGCTCTCCCTTCTCCCTGCACTCCTCTGGGTTGGCCTGGAGGAATGCAAGGAGCAAAATTATTCTCAAGGAGGGGAGAATTGGGAGGGTTCCCACCATAGCAGGATGACTCCATCCCACCAATCAAGTGACTGGCAGGATGAGGGAGACATTTTCCCAGGGCTGCAGCCCTCCTGGGGCTGTGTAGGAGCTGCTGCTTTTCAGTGGGTGCCAACTGCCACTTCAGAGCCTGCCTCCTTCCAAAACAGACATGGGGGTAGGCTGCCAATTAATGGGCTCCCCTAAGAGTGGAAGCTGCCCAGGGAGCAGCCCTCTAGTGTCTGCTGGCTAGACAGCTTGCCTGTGAAGCTCTCCAGTCATGGGGCTGGAGGAACATCTGTGCAGTCCAGCTCCAAGCTGTAATTTCTTCTGGTAGAAATAAATGTCTGTACATGACTCTAGAGAATATACTTTCCTATTTAGCTTTTAATTCCCAAGATAATAGAAAAATAGGGCTGGAACGGACTTCAGGAGGCCATCTAGTCCAGTTCTCTATTTATGGCAGGATTATCTTATCTAAGCCACTCTATAAAAAGTGGTTGTCTAACCTACACTTTAAATGTACAAAACAACCTCCCTTGCAAAACTACAAGGCACAATGCTTAAAAACACCAATAACACCCTCACTTGCCAGACATAAAGAAGTGGGACACAGGCACTGTTAACATCCTGCTGCTCCAAGGGGGGGCAGTAGCTTGTTAAAATGCAGTTGAGCCATCCAAGGAAGAGGACTGTGTCAGTTTGCAAGCCAGTGGGTGCTGTCTGGGGTGTTCTGCTCGGTCTCCCCCGGGGGAGCACTAGTTTTGAACCTATGAGCTGCACGAGCACACTGTTTTCTCTTTTGTTGTCCCCCGTAATTTATTGGTGTTTTTAAGGCACTGGTCACCCTACCCAGTGGCAGCCCCCTTGCGGTTTTACGCTTTTAACTTTTTTAAGCTTTTAGCCTTTTTTAAACTGCATGCAGAACATCAAGTGCCGGACGCCAATGCAATAACCCACTCCTGAACTTTTAGTTGATGTCACCATGGCGCTGGTCACCCACCGTCAGAACAGCATTGTGCAACGGTGATGATGGCCAGGCTGGACCTGCCCCCGCTGGGGCGCAACATTGAGCCATCTCTGGGCTCCCACGAGGGATCCGGAGGATGTAGAGAACTCAGCTGCCGACCACCGGCGACCCCCAGATCCAGCGGCACATCCGTGTCAACAGAGGACATCAAATAGTCCCCTGCTTGCAGAGGAAGGTAAACTGAAATTGGTATTGGGCAACACAAAGCTTACCTTCTCCACATCTGCTTTCTTCTCATTCAAAAGATTTACTGTCCTGTCATAAGCAGTGTTAATAAGTGACCGCACTTCTTCATCAATCAATCGTGCAGTTGCCTCACTGTAAGGCTTTTCCAGTATCGGCTCTCCTTGATGTGGGAGATCAAAGGAAATCTGCCCTACCTTTTCATTCATGCCAAACTGAACAATCTGAAAATTAAACAGATTAAGTACTGAAATACACTACCACTTAATCCAAAATCTGAATATTTGAAGATTCATTTTTAGTTTTTTATTTAAAGTTTCAAAACAGCCTAAACAAACAGTGCAATTTCGAAAAGATGGCATTGTTCATGATGCTTTGCTGTTTAACAGGTGTTTCATTGTAATTTTGTTCTTTTTAATTTTTCCATTAAACTTCATGGAAGCAACCATAATACTCTTTCAGAGGCACATTTATCTAATCAAGTTACACTAAGAGAAGCAAAAACCATCACCACTCTCAAAACAGATCCTAGAGTAGTAACCCATAACCCTAAATGGTGATAAACTAAAGCAGGGGTTTTCAACCAGGGGTACTTGGGATGGTCTCAGGCGGTACTTGGCAGTGGGTGTTGTTGCCGCTGCTGGCACTTCTGCTGCTGCTGTGCCGCTGGCACACTCGCCGATCGGCTGCAGAAGATCCCCACCCCCCGCCACTGATTGGCTGCTTGGGGACCCCCCTCCTGCGCTCGTTGACTGGCTGCTTGGCAGGCCTCACGCCCTCAGAAGGAGCTACCATCCCTGCTGTTTTCACCCAAATCTGCCAAAAAATGACGAAGTTATAGGTATTTCAGTGATTCCCCATTATAAATCCATGGCCGAATCTTCTGAAGCAGACTCAGCCAAATCAATTTGGGACAGTGATCCAAATCAAATCAATATCCTCTGAACTGGCTGAATCCAAATCAAATACTTCCCTATTTGCACAGGCCTAATAGGCATAAATAGGGTGACCATATGTCCTGGTTTGGTCAGGCCACTTACAGATTCTGTAGCCTGGTCCTGGCTGGTTGGCTGGTCAAAAGTCCCAGGCTGGAGTCCGGCAGGCAGTCAGCCAGGCAGGCACTGCTGCTGCTGTGTGGGAGTACGGACGTACCATGTGTGGGCGGGGTGGTGTCTGATCCAGTCCACCCGCCTTGCTCCTGGCTGAGCAGCAGCAGTGCTTGCCCAGTGCACCATGCTGCTCCACCTGCCTGCCAGACTCTGACCCAAGACTTTTGACCAACCAGCTAGGACTGGGCTACAGAATCTGGCAGTGTCCTAGCCAAACCAGGCTGTATGGTCACCCTAGGCATAAAGGAACTCCCTATTTATGCATTTTCCTTCTAAAACAGAGGTTTTAGATGTTACATACGTTTGTTTTTTTTAACTCAAAAATCTTCCACAGGAATGAATTTTTAGTTTACTAACTTGGGGATATGTACACCCATGTAAGTGACAGATTTTTGATGTTAATCACCTGAGCACTGGTCATCTTTTCATTATTTTACAGTACCTGATGCATTAAATGCATGGTTCCTAGTCTTAACTAGATAAAGGCCATGTATGTAGTTGAGCAGCTTGAACTCTATGATGTACAACTGTAGAAACATTTGGACCCAACTTGTCAACTATAGCCGTTTTGGAAGTGCAAGATTTCTGCAAAGATTTAAGCGTAGGTATCTCTCCCACACATTCCTGTTCCACAGGGACTTAAGTATACTTATTTACAGGAGTAACTTATAAAAACAAAATAAAGTCTTAAAGTAAGATGGCTTTGTTATTAAGGCACACATACAATACAATGACCACAGCAGTTATGAACTATTGCTATGGGCAAAGACAAAACACAGATGCATAACTCTATATACTCCATACACAGTGTGGTTTGAAAATGTAAGGTCCAAGAGTGATGTCCAAATCATGCAATTCAAAACCTGATGAGCCAAGCAAAATGTGGCTTCTTTCAAGCAATCATGTATATAACTAAAGGAAGATTGTAAGAAAGTTTTCACATGAAGCACTAACCTGAGCATATGCGCTCTGAGTCACCTTCCTCAAGTCATCTTGGGCTCCTGTTGTAATTTTTCCAAAGAAGATTTGTTCGGATACACGTCCTCCCAAGGTCATGCACATTCTGTCAAGCAGCTGCTCTTTGGTGTAAAGGTACTGCTCTTTTGGTAAGTATTGAGCATAACCTAATCCTTTGCCACGTGGAATAATAGATACCTTGGTTTAAGGAGGGAGTGGGGAA